GACTCGTTTATTAACTACGTTATACTAAAAATATATTTATAAAGTAATTATAAAGTTAATATATTTTTTAAAAATAACTTAATAATAAATATTATATTAAGTAATTTTATTATTATAATATACTTTTTATAAGATATCTCTTTTAATAGCTTACTTAGCTTAATAATAACTTTAATTAATTAACCTTTTATTACTTATTTATAATATATAACTAAAATAACTCTTTTTTATTTTTTTATTATATATTAAATATTAGCTTATATTTCTTCTATAGATATTCTAATAATTACTATACTTTTAATACTTACTAAAAGGTTAGACTAAGAAGGTAATATTACTTATTAGCTATTTATAATAATTTTATTAAAAGGTTATAAAAATATTTTAATTAGTTATTATACTATAAGTAGTTTAGTATCTTAAATACTAGGTAGTAATAATAATTTTATAAGGTTATTATATTTAAGGGACTTTAGTTATAAAATAATCCTTAGGGTTATTAATAATAATAGAATTATTACTACCGCCTCTTTATTAGTTTATTAGTAACTTACCTTTATATATCTACTCCCTTATATATAACCCCTTTATATCCTAGCTTATCTTTCTTCCCTAATAGTTAAGAAGAGATTTAATTAGTTTTATATAATTAAATAAATAATCTATATTTTTAGTTAAAATATCTATTATTTTAAGTATAAAATTTAAATAGTTAGAAAAAAAGGAAAAAAGTACTTTAAGTTATTAATAAGTAAATTAATACTTTAATATTCTATTAAAATCTTTTTCTATTATTATATACTTTTTATATTATAATATATTAGTCTATTAGGGAACGTACGTATATATTACGTTATAGGTTAGTTAGTGTTCTTAATTATAGTTATTATTATTAGGCAGGCCTTAGCCTATAGCTATTAATCTAGGTATAAAAGTAAATTAGATATTAATTTAGGCTAATAAGAGGGCTATATTTATTAAGGTAGCTAGTAGCTATAATACTAGTAGTCTTTCTCTTTTTAAAGGCCTAATATTATTAAAATTATTAAAATGATAAGAATACCTTAAAATATATATATTACTATTAATTTTAGCTTCCTTAGCTTATAATTTCTCTATTATTACTTAGTTAGTTATAATATTAATTTTATATTAAGATTTAACTTAAATACCTAGGCTTATAAGGGTAATTTAGTATTAGTAAGGTTAATATAAGTTTTATTTATTTAGTATACATAAAAATAATATTTTAACCTCTTAGCTTATTCTAAGTATTAAATAGCCTAATTAACTTAATTCTTCTAAATTTATAATAAAAATAAGATTCTTTTAATATATATATATATATAATATAACCTTTTTCTAGTCTATATATAACTTTTATTATTTAAGGTTCTTTATCTTTTATAATAAAGAAAAGAGAATACCTTTAATAAAGTAATTTTCTAGATTATAGATAATATAAAGATAAATTAATTTTCTAGATTATAGATAATATAAAGATAAATTAGTTTTCTAGATTATAAATAATATAAAGATAAATTATTTTTTTAGATTATAAATAATATAAAGATTTACCTTACTTATAATCTACCTAT